ACGTACTGCCACCTCGTGGATTGGATTGGAATTAGGAGCGCGCGGCAGCACAGCAGGCAAGTCATCCTTGGCTACCAAACAACACTCTTCTCTTCATGTTATACACTCTCTTCAATATTTCCTTTTCCTTTTGATGACCACCAAATGTGATCTATCTCATCTAACTATCCCATGCTCTAATTCAATCCTTCGGACTCCTATTTATAAGCTGGCATACCGAGTAGTGATCATGATCGATTGAGAGGAATAATATTAACCATGCATGCATATAGCTAGAGGTCGAGATAAGATTCTGATCAATGCATCATGGTCAACAATAGATCATCGCCTATCATCAACTGCAATTGGCCCTCATCAGATATCCTTTATCTCATTTCATATGGCTTTAATTTGGCTTTGGCTCCTCCCATACCATATATATTGGAATATATTCTATCCTCCTCAATTACTTGTATGTATTTTTATGCCGACCCTTTAGCTGCTTTGAAGGACTTGTAGGCCTCAGTGGATTGGATCATGGATGCATCTTTTGGAAGTAAATTTCCGTCTTCTTCTTCTTGGACAAAATTGCATCTACAAAACAAATAACACATTAGGTCAAGGCCAAAAGCCTCACGCGCCCAATGAATTGGTGGGGGGGGGGCCTTTGGCCGAAGAACCTCCGATACCAAAGTTAGAATTTTGAGGGAAAAGTGTTTGGATAATTTAGAGAATTTTGCAAGAGAGTTAGAATTGAGTTTTGGAGAAAATGAGGTAGAATTTATAGGGGTATGACCAGCCCCTTTGGGAGGATGGGGACCGGCCACTTGGATGGTTTTTTGGGTGTGCTTCATAATTTGTTAGCTAATTAATAAATTAATTGAGTAATAAATCAATTAATTAGCTAATTAATATAATTTGAAAGGATTGATTTGGAGGTTACCTTGTGGATAAGATTTGATGAGGATAGATGAGATAAGTTTTGAATAATTACCTATTTTGAGCACTTTTGACCTTGATTGAGTCATGATTGTCCACTGCTCGCGCTTAAGAGTTCCGGTATTCCTCGAGGGTAATTTTGTCATTTTCACCCTATAATCCACATGTCACCTCCATATTTTTCTCGATTATTTTTTGCTCCACACATCTCAAAGCCAAGATTTGCCCTGCAACTGGCAATACTTACCTCTCTTCTGCTAGTGATTTAATTAAGTATATATTTTGTAAGTCTAATGGTAATTTGTTTGCAACGCCCCATGCTGTGCTAGCTAGGTGTGTTGAGTCACATATCGGCGCACTACTAGCTAGGTTGATACGGGCTCTAATCATATATAAGCGATTATAAAGAGCCTCATACTGACTAGTTGGTTATGGGATAGTGCCGATGTTGGTGCGCGTGTGCATCCCTTGGCTCGCTAGTGTTGGTGACTAGCTAATTTCATTATTCACATATGAGTATGGGAATCTAATGCGAGGAAGGATTGCTCTCTTCGTGCCAATCTCTTATTTTTCATGGCCACTTTTGTACGTACGTTGAAATTAGAAAAGAGATAGAAAGAGAAGATTTTGACATTAGATATAAAGGAAAGAAGAACAAAATCTAAAATAAAATCCTTCCCTTACCTATACAAGTAACATGGAACACTACGTACTAGTTTGGTACTGAAGTACTTTTATAAAAAATGGGTATAAAAAAATTGAGCTCAAAAATGTGTTTGGTAAACACTTCTTATTTTCACAATTTTGAGTGAAAAAAAATGCTGAAAACGTGAAGCAACAAAAATGAGTTTATTCTCACAGCACAACATAATCAATTTTTTTTCAAAGTACAGTAATACCAAACCAGCACTACTACTAATAGTACTACCACTCTCCTCTCTAGATAATAGATACCCCTTTCTATTCCTTTTTTCTTCGTCTACCCATCCCTCTGCCTCACATCTCTCACTCAGCCGTGATCTCTAGGGGAACATGATTCCAGACTTTTCCAGCGGCATCGGTCAAGTGTCAACCCATTAATTGAGAATTGAGATACCCCACTCATCCACCTGTTCTTACAATGTCAAATGCCTCCCCACGAAAACCATAACCAAATCTCCACGCTTTCTCGTCATTGACTTGTTTGATTTTACCCTCTAGCTCAATCGCATCAATTTACGGTTCAAGAAAAATGACTTTTGCACATTAATTTTTTCTATTCATACTCATGTTTATTTTCATCTTTAACGTTCTTTTAATTTGAGATGTGCAAATGTCTATATCTAAAGAACCCTTTATTCAATCTAAACTAAATTATTTTCTTTCAAATACACCCATTGTTGAATATGAAAGAAAAAGTTAATTTGACGAAAGTAACGTACCAGATTTGTGAAATGAGAAGTTCTTACATGTGGCCGACTGTGTGCAACTTTGCATGTCTCACAAAATTGGCGTGGCCACGGCCCAAAGAAACCTTGCTCCAATACAAGGGGCTCATGTTTTGTTTGTGCATGGCAGTTCCTTCTGTCAACTTATAAGGATTGACCTTTTTCAAATAAAAGGCCCAAAGACTAAAGTTTGATATGAGTGCATGAAAAAGCACATGTAATGTTCTATATTTCCGGCTAATTATGCAATGTTCCACGTTTTAAATTTCGTGTAATAAAATTGTATTTATTAGTATGAAACGTCATAGTGCCATCTTAGAAATATAGAGAATTCTCTCTCGTATGAACCTGTTTTTCAATTCAAAGTGTATGTGTAGACATCGAAATTTCGGTAAATAAATGTTGACCGATAAATCAAAATTTCAGCGCTCATGTATTACATAAATTTTACACGTAGCGTGTGTCTAAACAAAAAATCGAGAATCATCGGAAAAGTCATCAAACAGGACACGTGTCAACACCTGGCAGAAACGACTTATTTCATCTGGAATATTATATTCAAAATTAGGCCTTGGAAAATTCTATAAATACAAGCCCATTTCATTCATTTGGGAAGGGGGGGAACCAAAATCATTAGGCAAAATTCTTGAAGCTCTGAAGCTCTGAAACTCCGAAGCATCCAGGTTCCCGAAGAATCAAGAAAGTGTTCTTCGTTCTTCGTTCTTCGTTCATCGTTCTTCCAAGATTAAGCCCCGACGGCCCTTGGATTAACAATCACCAATTCAAGATCAAGCCCCAAAGGCCCTTGAAGAACTTCCACCAATTCAAGATCAAGCCCCGGCGGCCCTTGAAGAAAGCACCATCGTTCATCATCCGTTCATCCAAGATCAAGCCCCAACGACCCTTTGGATCAACAACGTCGACAAATCCACACATCCAACCGTTCTTCAAGATCAAGCCCAAAAGCCCTTGAAGATCCGTTCATCACTATTCTTCAAGATCAAACCCAAAAAGCTCTTAAAGATCCGTTCATCACCATTATTCAAGATCAAGCCTCAACGGCCCTTGAAGAAACACTCATCCTCAAGATCAAGCCCCAACGGCTCCTTGAAGATCCGCTCAAATCCACCTTCAAAGATCAAGCCCACGGCCCATTGAAGAAACTTCCAACAGTTCATCCAAGATCAAGCCTCGACGGCCCTTGGATCAACGAAACATCCACAAATCAATACCTTATGGAGATCGAATCAGATGATCAAATTTGAGAGAGATTGTAACCCGAAATCATCAAATACAAATATTATTTTGTGCACGTTGTTCTTATCTCTTTCGTTTAAGGAAATTTTCGTGTTGACAATATGATTTTCATATTTTAGTCCTGACACGTCCGTTGGTGCTTGGCTCGACTCGTATCCACAGTCCTACATATACATGATATATAGAGTTGAACTGAGTACGTAGGTAGTGAGTGTGTAAGCCTTAGTCTTGACGTACGTATACGCTAGTGCTACAAATTTTGTACAATTGTGTGGTTTTGAATTTATATTTGCTCTGCAAACCAGGCTAGCGTTACATGCATGTGTCCACATCCTTTGGTAACATGATCGATGGATCTTACAAAGTTAATTAAGTTGTTTTTACATTAATTTTCATTTTATTGGAAACTTGCATCTGACCTTCCTCCCCTCCTTTCCAAAATATTTAAAAATGGATGTGGCTATATATATATATATTTAATCATGAAGAATAATGATGTCATGCATCCTTCGTACGTGCTCGTGGGGTTCATGCATTGCGGTTTCATTGGCACTACTTGACACCCCCTGAATCTGCTTTTCTATCTCTCTCTAGTAGTTTTCAACACTAAAAAAAGGTCATATAAAAATGCACATGATGTTCTACGTTCAATTATTGTTGATCTTCGAGTACTATAGGCATAAATTATTCATTGTCACTTTGTTAGTGAGGGAGTTTGTAGCCTATTTGCAAGTTAACGAATATTTTTAATTTGCATGTGATTTAATATCCTAATAGATAAAGTGTGGATTCTATACTCATACGTCCTGAGTTCGAAACGTCTCATCTCCTTAATAATAACTATTAAAAAAATGAGTCCTTCCAACTTGAGTAACAAAACATAAAAGACCAATACATTATTTTCCTGTTATTCATTGAAATTATTGTCACATTCTAACCCATTATTTGACTAACATCGTAGATAATAGAGTAAAGCTAAAGAGAAATCCGAAAAAGTGATGGAGCAAATCTCGTCCCAAATTACCGGCATATGACGTGGCAGATCCAAGGGCCAAGACATTTTATAGGAAAAATCAGCCAGCTGGTATAAGATGGTCCCCATGGGATCTCTCATTTGTGGAAAGATTTTTCAATATGACTGGTACACGGGATAGTATATCACGTGTTACTATACAAATAGTAGAATTTATGTGCTAAAAAATTAATATCTTAAACAATAAAATTTTCAAACACTTCTATTAAAACACGTAATGTACCACTTGTGTCCCGTCCCAACTAAAAATTTCTGCTGCCTGCCTTAGCTCGCAAGCCACATGCGCACGTTCGTCGTCCACCTGGATTAAACAAACTCTTTCTCTTCGATGAATTTCAACGGAGGCTCCTTTAACAAAGCACAGAATCGACATTTCAACGTCTACGCCATGTGAGACTTGTCTCGGTCACTGAGCTTCCTGTTTCCAGATTCTCTCTCTACTCTCTCTCTCTCTCTCTCTCTCTCTCTCTCATATCTGAGATAGAAATACAGATATGGAAGCTTCACAGCTCTCTCACTGTCCTATCCTCTCTGGAGCCAGTAAGTTATATTTCGGTTTGTCTTCTATTTTTATTCATGCACCATGTATCCATCTAAGATTTCATAGTCGGGTCAGCGACGGTCTATCTTCTAATCTCTCACTTGTTATTTACTAATAAATTTGTACACATTTTGGTGTTTGTTTTGCATTTATCGTTTTAATCTTTGTTTTTCTGATGGGGCTAAACATAGAGGTGGATGGCTGGTTTTTTGTGCAGGATGTTCTTGTTGTTATGTTTGAAACCAATATTTACACCCACAAAACAAAATGGGGTGCGCCTCTTCTGTTTATGCTATTCGAGGAAAGAAGAAGTTGACTGTCCCTGAAGTCGTGGTCTTTGTCCCGTCTACGCGAATCCCGGCTCAGTCTGATGTTCAAAAGCGTCTTAGAGGCCTCATTCCAAAAGATCTTGTTGACAGACTGTCGTCTCTTCGCAATCAGATTGTCTTAGTTGCAGAGGATACTGGTATGCTCTACCATCCTTTTTACATTAAACAGAAGAGGATCAGGAGAGATAATTGGCTCCTCAGTAACAGTCAATGTTGGGTTTCTGGGGAAATGTACAAGTATTTAGTTTTAGTGCAAATGTTGTTGTTGTTGTTGCAGGTGGATCTGCTATATCTGAACTGCGGCGAGCATTGGAGGAGTACTTGTCTGTTTTAATTGGGCTCACCAAGAAAGGTTTGAAACTAGGAAGTTGCTACCACCCTCTCCCCTCTTCTCTCTCGTACACACACAAACAAATGCTAATTTGCATATAAAATGCAACAGAATATGGTCTGGAGAGATTGGTTGAATTCAAGTGGAAATGTTTGGAGGATGGAAAACAGGTAAATAGACCATCAAAAACTAGCTTTTTTTCAAGATGGGATAACCCGGATGATTTGTTATTAATTTTCCTTGCAATCGAGGTCTGATCAAATGTGATAACTTGCAGGAAGCATGTGCGGCAAACTCCTGGTTTGAAGTACTGTCTGTTCTGCACCTGATGGCTATGCTTACATTGTCGGAGGCTGACACCTTGATGATCCCGCTCGACCATTCTGGTTCGACTACAAGGACAGTTTCTTCAGGTTTGTACTCTTGTCCGCATGCTTTTATGATACATGTTCACCTGATGGCTAACCTTAACTATATTCTTTTCTTCCAGATTCCAAGAGAGAAGCTGTCGACTTATTGCTCAAGGCATCCGGCTACTTGGAATTCTGTGTCCGGGATGTCCTGGTTCGCATACCACCCGAAATCAAGTACGTAGAGTTGAAAGTAACATAACATTAAATTTGGGATTTAGACGGTGCCAATACTTAAAACTAATACATAATTTATGTCATGAACACAGGAAAAATTTGCCCAAAATTTTGCGGGATGGTGTGTTGGAGGCCATTTCTTATCAAACTCTAGGCCAGGTACTTTCTTGATGAGTGGAATCGATTTTCGTATGTTGACATTGACACCGATTGAGTATCAATGGTGATTTGCAGTGGAGAAACATGAATTAGATTAGTCTTAAGTTACAGTAATTGCTGGGAGGTAAATTTACAGATTTACTGATCCTGATGAAAAATACAGGGAACAGAAATCCAGCTTGGCTTAGCTGTTGAATGTCAGAAGGCCACATTGTCAGTTAAAAGGAGATTGGCATGTGAACAGTTGACCTATTTTAGTCAGGTTTGTATTCATGCTCTAGTCCTTCATTACTTCAATTCAAACCTACAGCTTATGCTTCTTTCGAATTTACTTAGACGACTGCGACTATATGCTCAGTTTCTATCTATTGTGTCTGTTCTGTTCTCGACATCAGGCCTATCACTGCTTGTCAGGATGCGACACAAATAATGGGTGCGGGAAGAAGCATATCTGGTTCATCAAATGGAAATTTCTCGAGTCAAAGGTTTTAAACAAAATCGATAATAAACCCAAATCTTATGATGTTGTTCCTCTTTCTGCATATGTACAATCAAGGTATATCTGTATCATATGTAAATTATCTGTGCAGGCTGCAGCATACTACTACCACGGCCTGATCCTTGACAAGGGCAATGAACCGTCATGCCACGTTAGCGCTGTGTGCTGTTTTCTTGCAGCGGAAGAACTTGTATCAGAGAGCAAGAAGGCTTGCTTAACCTTTTGCCTTGCAGCTCCAGTTACCAGGTGTATATTATTGACTCTTAATACTACCCTAAATAAGAGTCTTGTTCCTTTTTCATAAGCATTAATTGCCTTGATTATTCTTGATTTATTTTTTTCTTTGTTTCTAAATTCAAGGGCTCCTCCACTCTGGGGAGCTATGAGGCATTTGCATCAGAAAATTCCTGAAGTTGCAACAAGGAAATCCCAGATGTATGGCTACCTTTTAGAACAAGAAAAGTAAGGGGCCATTGTTTTCTCTATCTTCCTCAATTATCTGAGTCCCCTAAACATCTAATTAACCTTTTAATTACGGACGCAGGGTTCTACAAACATTGCCTGACCTACCAGAATTTCAACTGTCATTAAGACCTGATGACTATCAGCTACCTGAAATCGACCCGGCCTGGGATTCCGAAAAGTGGGAAGCTGAGGGCCAGACCTTGAAAGAGCACCTAAAAGATAGCGACGACGAGATTGAAACTCCAGAGTGATGTCTTTCGACCAGCACTAATCATGTTATTAGTGATTTAGAACAAGCTAAATTACAGATATCACATCACTATGTATATGTTTTATATATGATCATCGTTCATCACTGCAATATGATGATCCATCCAGGCAGTCAGACAAGCACATAAAATGGGTCATCCCCATTGGTGACAAGCTTGTTGAATTAAATGGCATGTCCTTTTGTTACACTACATATTGATGACAAAATACCTAATTGCAATCTAGGTGCCAATGAAATTAAATACTGCTCCCACATATTTTCTTAAGTTGTCAAAGACCCTATTAAATGTCCTCCCTTCAAAATTGAAAAGAAACGAGAAGAACTTACCTACCACTGGACCCAAACTATGGGGCGTTTCCACATTTGCGTCCCGTTACAGATACGTATCTCTGGTGATAGAAGAAAGAAAATTCCCAATACACAAATACTTTCTGCAACATCTCCTAATCAAAGAAGCCACCATTTCATCAAGCATCAAGGAGACAATTAGTACAAATAAATACGATTAATTGGCCCATAATTGCTACAGGGGGTAATATGTAAACTAAATCGTTAAGAGAACATATGTATAGCAAAATGATCAATTCAACGCCCCACCACCACCACTATTCTGTGATTTTCGATGTCGTTTTCGGATGAAGGGATAGATCTCTTGTAAGTTGTATTGCTGAGTTCATTCAGTAGGTCGAGGCATGAGATTATGAGCAGCTATGAGAGTGAGAAACAAGTAGGCAGAGAAAGCCAGGTAAGAAAACGCAAGAGAAATGGTCATTTTGTTGCAGAACTCCTTCACATAACCGCATGTTGGCTGCCAAGTCATTTTCTTCTCCCCATACTTCCCCACGTACCCGATTGCGGTCGCGGCTGCGCACCCGGATATCATCATCACCATCATCACCTGTAAGTAACACAATTAACTAACTAATGCTGCAATGATAAATTACGAACGGAAATTGTTATTCACGCTCCAAAAATTTGCTAACCATGTCGTGCAAGAAGAGAACGAAGTAGTTTTTGAGGTGTTGAGACGGAGAACGGCGTAAGAAGAAGGATAGGAAGATCAATGAGAGCACTGAGAAGGCACACACCACAACATTAGCACCAACCAAGAACCTGTAACAACAGAAACCCCCAAAAGAAGTTAATAAATAAATAAAAGTGGTCATATCTGTTGTAAAAAATTGGATCTTTGATTTGCTTTTTGGATCTGGGTTTACTTGAAGGCAGTTGAGTAGGAGTAGTGAGCTTCGAACTTGAATCCGAACACGACGACGGATTGGCTGTTGGTGACCGTAACGGAGATGGCGATGAGTGTGAAGACAATGGCTGAGATTCTGAGAGCAACTTGAGCGGTCAACAAAGACATCCTCCGCCGTGGTACGCCTGAAGAAGTGACTTGGAGGACGGAGGAGCTATTCTCTTTGGGCGTCTCTGACGCCATTTCGATTTGATGATGGGTTGTTTGATCAGACCAATGGATACAGAAGACGGAGACAGTAGAGGAGGAGAGAGCCTAAATACATCAGAAAATGCAAAAGAATCTTTTTATCAAAGGTGGAAAAAGTCTTTGGCCAAAAAAAAAAAAAAAAACTTTAACGAAAAAATCCGGTACTGTTCACTTTAACGAAAAATCATATTTTTACACTAAAAAGTCAATTATGTTACTATTCACTTTACCCTTTATTTTGTCCTTATCATTAAAACTCAAAGTTTTCAAGCCCTTTTCATTAGTTTTCCAAAAAAAAAAAAAGCCAGAGAAAATGGGATTGCGAGATAGAACTTGGTTGTTGAAAAAATCAGGGCAACCCTGCTGATGGCCAATCACAGTTGGACACATGTTTGAGTTGTGATAAAAAAAATCAACAACTTAGACACTTGTTCAGTTGTGATTGGTCATCAGTAGGAGCTGCTGCTGACCAACAGTTGTCAAAGAGCAAGGAGGAGAAAATCCAATGGTGAATTGCGATCTGAGGGTTTTAGAGATGGTAATAATAAGTGAGTCCAACCTAACTAGGACGGAAAAAGGAAAAGCTTCATAAATGGGTCCTCTGTCCGAATTTAAAGGCAAATTCTGAGAAAGAAAACACACAGTGTGGCATTCGGACCCCGGATTTTGAATTTTGGCGAAGACGTGACCTTACTTGGGCCATGTATGTAAGGCGGTATACGAAGACGTGACCTTGTTTTCATGCAAAGTTATAATTTGAACCATTTATTAAGTGATTTTTTTTAAATATAAATTTTTTATAATGATCCTTCAATTTTAATCAAATGAGAAATTTTTTAGCAATGGTCCCTTAATTTTAATTAAATTGGAGAAACGGTCACTCAACTTTAATCCGATGGAGCATTGATTCGTCAACTTTAACCTAATTGTAGTAATGGTCATTCCAACATAACTCATTTTGACGGGATTTTGACGGAGTTGAAGAAAAAGGTCATAGCTATACTTTTTTTATGAATTAAGGAACTAATGGTCATTGATTTTTAGTTAAGGGACTGTTGCTCTAATTAAGTTAAAGTTGAGAGATGATTGTTACAAATTTCTCTAATTTTTACACTATTTTTCTTCCTACATTATTATTTTTTATTTCTCTTCATCCTCTTTATTTTATTCAAACTAAATGATAGAGAAAAATGAATAAACAAAAGGGGGTGGTCTACAAGAATGTGTGTGTTGAACGCGACTCAAATTAGTCATTGATGCAGTTAGCGGCTCTTGCTCAATTCTCTGGAGATTGAGGAATACTATTGAAGATATTAAGTGGTTGGCGACTTCTTTTGACTCTATTTCTTGGAAGCATGTCTTTAGAGAGACAAATTTCATGACGGACAAAGTGACTAGCATGTGTTTTAATGTTGCTACTTCCATATTGGGATAGAATCTTGCCCTCAAGCAACCCCCCACCCAAGCCCGCGACAAAGAACCCTCTACCATTTGATTGTACTAGAACTGGTTGTGACCTTCTTTTTATTTTATTTTTTTTCCTAAAAACCCCTAACCTAAGACCATGTTTATGGAGTAGCCACTACCATTGCGAGTCAAGCTTGTGGGCCTGAAATTTTGCCCTAAAGATTATGATGGACCGGTCCACTCATAGAAGCGGCCATAACAGTTGCTTGGTAGTGGCGGCCCTAACTATCGGAGCGTGTATCCTTGTTTATGATTTTGTATTATTATACTTTCTCCAATCCTGGGCTAAATGTCAAATTCCCCCACTATTCTATCCCCCCCAAAACCCAACCCAACCCAACCCAACCCAAGCCAAATCTTTGGGCTAAAAGCCAAATGCCAATTGAGGGCCAAATTCCCCCCAAGAAATAGCCCAGAAACACGTGGACTCTCCCTTTCTCGGCCCACTCTCAGCCCGATCACGCGCCCAACTCGCCCCACGCGGGTTGAACCCTTCAACTCCCGACAAGGTAGGCCTCGCTATCAATGCATGTGTCGGCCACCAAACCCAACCCAACGACTGGGCTTTTTGGACCGTTGGTTGATCCAACAGTCCAGATTCAATTTTTTTTTAAATGTAATTTTAAAATACATTAAATTCAACGGCTGAGATCGAATATAATAAAATCTAATGGTAAAAAAAAAATAAAAATCTAACGGCTCAAATTTAAATCCAACTGCTAAAATAATTAAAAAAAATTATTTAACTCAAAATTCACCCAAAAACTCTATAAATACCTATGTATTTGTTCAAACATCTACACAAAACGCACTTTTCACCTACGTTCTTCCAATTTTTCTTTCTACCATTTCTCCTACAATATTATTTACACTATTTTTTTTTTGGTGAAAGTTGAACAATTGGTGAAAGTTGAAAGATTGGTGAAAGTTGAAGGTTTGTTTTGTGAAAAGATTTAGTGATTTTTCAATATTTATCGGAATTTAAATATTTTTATATTAAAATGTTCATAAAATTAATTTACGATAGTCCACTGAATTTAAAAAAAAAAGTTAATTTAAGAAAAAAATTGGTCTAAATTCATTATTTAATAATCTCAGGCTAAAAGTTTAGGCCAGAAGGGTTAGAGCAGAAAAACTGTTTATAGACTAAAAAATTTGATTTTTAACCCAAAGATTGAAGATGATCTTATGAGAACAAAAAAGTTGGAAAATTAGGAGGTAGAGACAACATAACATAATATTGGAATAGAATGGAATTATAATTTATTCATGTGTGGTGCTCTGCGTGATTAAAGTAGAGGAAACTCCAACCGCCTAATCAATCAAATCATGAAAGAAAAATAAAAGAACATAGATCGGGACAAGTCACATGACTCGTGACTGAGAGTGACACAAAATTTCAATCATCGTGGCTTATTTCAAATCAAAGTCAAATTACAACATTCGTTGTTAAAATTCTAGTGCAATTGTGGAAGTAACTATTTTATTTTTTAACCTTTTTAATAAAAGTTTTAAAAAATGATTATTTAACTGTTTTTGTCAGAAATTTTAAAGAGATCACCTAAAAATATTATTGCTTCATACTGTGACAAATTTCAAATTACACAAGTAAACAAATAGATGAAGCCATCAATAACTGGCACGTGTTGAATTGTAATTAATCATCACTCCTTGTCCTTATACCGTATTCTGTATATACACTTTATTTCTAGAAGAATTATTTTATAAAATGAAAATCCTGTGTTGGTTTAGTTTAGTGCAATGCAGGTGACTCCTCCTTGACCTTGAGGCTCCTGATTCAATTCCGGCCAAAAAAATATAGTAATAAAGTAGAACAAAACGCCAAAAAAATTTGGACATGACAGGAAGTAATAGTGACGAAAAATCTAAGAGCTTTATGACAGGAAGTAATAGTAATAATTTCAATTGTTCAACGTCTGCATTAGTTTATTATCTCCTGTGATGGAGTAATTGGAGTTAGGTATGGCAAAGTTGAAAGTATTTTGTTTGCTTCTTGCAACCTTCAAGAGCTTTATGACTAATCTAAGTGGATCACATCCCAACTACAGTTCTCTAATCAAATACATATCGATGCTAAACCAGCTGATCAACTATGAATTGGTATGTTCATCATGTGGAATAGTTTATCATGATTGTGACTTGTATACTTATTTTACTATTATTTGTGCATTATTACAAGTTTCTAATCAAATGTCGTAATATAATTGGTTAGAAATATAGGCCGATGCATCAAGTATCGTAATATAATTAGTTAGGTTTATTTTATTTTTTTTCTAAGTTTCCAATCAATTGTATTATTATACTTGATGTACCGAGCCGTGTTCCCAACACACTAAAAAATTTCTCCTGAATCTATTCTAGACTTGAAGAGATTTTTCAATATGCCGTAATACGAGGCATATATTATATGTTATCATACAAGTGGATGAAAGATTTTTATTCAAATGTTCCTCCACTTGTATAATAACATACATATGACTTATATTCTCGTATTGCAAGCACACTAAAAAATCTCTCATAAACTTATAGAAGTAGTCCATCTTAACCTCCATCTCTTACCGACGTTGCCGTAATGAGTGTGTGTACTCAAAAGTGGTTCCATCCCAAAAAACAAACGACTCCCAACCCAACCGTACTTTTCTTTTCCTTCTTTTGTGTATTGTTTCGGTCAAGCAAGCAAGCAAGCCAGCAACGCGGGTCTTTTTTAGAGCAGTTCCACCGGAGGTGGAATAGCCCGGCACTCAGTGGAAAAAACAAGCTGGGACTCAGCCAATTCACTCCAGCCCATGGAATAGACTGCACCCAGCCTAAGCCAGTCCACAGGCCGACCTAAAATCGACAGAGGAAGGAGACAGGTCATTTGACGCCATGTTGACGTCATGGCTACCCCATCAACCCCCTTCCCCTGATAAATCCATATATTCAACACCATATCCCCCTTCCCCTTGCAAGCTCCGGCGAGACGACGACGAAGAGACCAGGATCGACTCTATTCACCATCCCAACCCCTCCCTCTCTGTTTCTCTCCTTGTTATCCGGACAACCACTCTCTCTTTCTCTCACTGTCACTTGCTCTTTCTCTCACTGTCTCCCTTCCACTCTGCCATGCCAGGATCCGCATGGCTTTGCCTGCGCCGAAGAAAGAACGAAGTGACGGGGGAAGGAACTAACCCCAATCTGAAACCCTATTCATAAAAAGACGATTCTACCCCTCTAACTCATCATCCAAACCATGGGATCTGAAGATGAGATGGGCAGCCTCGTCATTTTACACCATAAAAAATTTCTGGAATGGTGTGGTGCGGGAGCGTTGGTGTGGGGAGGAGGAGGTCCATTTCCAGAAGAAAAAAAAAGGAAGAAGTCAGAAAGTAAAATACCAAATTATTATTTTATAATAAAAATTAATAATATTTTAATAAAATTGACTAGGCTATTTAGTTTTAGGGGTGGAGATGCATTGGTCTATTACTGTTCATTAGAGTCTATCACTGTTCACTTGAGTGGATAAATGGACTGGGTGCTGACGCAAAGTCTTTAGGGGTGGACTTGCTCTCATGCACACTAGCCGTTCCTGTACTTTCTATTGCTGAATCACAAATCCATCAAATCCACTCCTAAAGTTTCTAACCATTTTACTACGGAAGAGGATCCCATCCGGATCTGCTTTGTCAGGATTTTAAGGATTTCCACTTGCAAACTATTTTCCTCAATCTCTTGCTAAGTTTCCTTTCAGGAGACTTTCCTAGATACCCGACAACGCCGTCATGGTATTCTGCGTTGATCATGTGAAAAATGTTAAAGCAAATAACCATGTGTTATCCGTTTGGAATGTCACAATGTCAATAAATTCATTTATACGATTAGTCATATGCAGTACTCCTTACATAAGTGAGACCCAGTACATGAGCTTGGGTGATGAGAAAATACAAAACCCCTTGTTTCGTATGTGTGGTAACACACGTGGCACGTATGACAATCACTTCTTTGATGGCACGTGGCACATATGTGTGGGAACACACGTGGTTGTATGCAAGTTGTCATGCATGTACGTGCTCCACGTTACCTGATTTGTGTTATCTACGTATTAAGCTTTAAAATTCGCCATACGTGAGGTGACATATTGAGAGCTATTTCAATCCCAATCTAGTTTACTTATAAGCTTATGCAAGATCTCTCACGTGTGATGATCTTACGTCTAACATGTGAACAACACAAACGAGGTGATATAGAATATGTATGACCGTTGAGCTATAACGTGACATTGAACCCTGAATATATTAATAAGCACTATTCAATGCGCAAACTAATCGGTTCAACTGAAATTATCATTACAATCTCGCGTACACAGACGTACCCAAGTAGACTACTGTAGCAGTGGCGTGCCATCCAACTCCTTACCTTTCTCATCTCAAGTTGGACAAAACTCCAAACGACAAAGACAGAAGCGAGAAAGGACAACGCCACGCTAGACAAACTAGAGCCGTCTCTCCGAAATATTTTTCCATGGAAACACTGAAAAATCTTTCCCCTCCTTTCCTCCTCCACTACTACTACTTAGCAGTAGCACTTTTTGTTTAGTGCCCTTGTCAAATTTAATAATCTCGATTAAACGAGCAGTGTTCAAATTCTCTAATAATCATTATTATTCTTCAAATGATAGAGTAACTTTGACTGATAAGCGTTCAAATCTCTAAATACCGCCAGCCGGGAGCCATCGGCCTCCCCGCAAGCAGCCTCTGTTATTCCATGGCCTCCACCGGAGTTTGTCTTTTCCCCGCCCGCCTGCCATCCGTTATCCGTCAGGAACTGACGTCGTCATCATCATCCGGAAAATCTAAGTTCAATCCGATCTCGACTCCATTTCGGAGGCTAGCCGCTGTGTCTACTGACCACACTCCGACGAGCCTGACCACAGTGAATATCGGAAACGGCAAGGCCTCTGAGAAGGATGCTCATACGACGACGACAAAGTCAGCTGCAGAGACGAAGAGGCAGGCTGGTCAGGAGGAGAAGAAGTTGGATGCGGAAGAGCAGGGCCTGAGCTTGAAGGATTACTTCGAGCAAGCCAAGGATTTCATCAGCTCCGACGGTGGCGGTGGTGGTGGACCGCCTCGCTGGTTCTCTCCTTTGGGCTGCGGTTCCCGCTTGGACAATTCTCCTCTGCTTCTTTTTTTGCCTGGTAATAAAAATCACTCTGCTTTTTGAACTTTATCCAACTTTGACCTTTTCTTAAATCTCTGCAAATGACGGCATCATCATCACCATCATTACAAATGTGAGCTTTCAATTACGAGACAATGATTCTGATTTGCGATCGCTCACAGAGATAAAAGTTCAATGATTATCGCGCATGTCTAATTACTGCTCAAGCCTGTATTTTTGCCGCTCAACTAAAAATTTATGATTATTGGTTCTTAACTCATCAAACTGTGCAATTATGATCTTTTTCATAAACTCTGTCAGAACTTTCATAAAAATGAGTCACGTGCCACACGTAAGGTCGAATCAAAAGGCAAATATGGAAAAACAAATGAGAAAAATTGTCCTTCGACTTTCACCCCATTAGAGAAATGATCCCTCAATTTTAATGCAATTGGATCAATAGTTCTTCAACTTTAACTCAATTGTAGCAATTGTCATTCCGACATGACTCATTTTGACGGAATTCTGACGAAGTTGATGAAAATGACCATAGCTACACTTTTTGATGAGTTAAGGGACCAATGATCTTGTATTTTTAGTTGAGAAACTATTGCTTCAATTAAATTAAAATCGAAAGTATTTGAATTCTTTTTTCCTAAAAAATATTTGGAATGAATAATGTAGGAATTGATGGGACTGGACTTGGGCTCACAAGGCATCATCAGAAACTTGGAAAGTATGTCCTAACTCAAATTTGTTTCTGCATTTCGGAATTAATTTTTTTGTTTTCCAACTTTTTGAACTGAATAATTTTGTTCCTTCTGCTAGAACTAATTTTGTTTAGTTAATTGATTTGATATCATATATGTTTAATTTTTTGTTTACTTGATGATGTGTGAAGGATTTTTGATGTCTGGTGCTTGCATATTCCTGTAAAGGATCGAACACCATTCACAGGTTCTTCCTTCTCTTTGATATGCCTCTGTAGTTTGTACTGATACAAACATTAGGTAGTTTCATTAGCATTGTTGATCTTGTGTGGCACAAAATGTTTGATTCACTCGGTCCTCATAGTATTCGTAACAGTGGTGAAAATCATATGTGAAGATAAAACGGCGCACCTTGTTCCTGTTTTCCTATTTGGTTGGATGAAAGAGATCGATGAATTCCTATATAATTTGGTCCTTCTATTAATTTCCATGTGTCAGACCTAGTGAAGCTGGTTGAAAGAACAGTTCGATCCGAGCATCGTCTCGCTCCAAATAGGCCTATTTATCTTGTTGGAGAATCTCTTGGAGCATGTCTTGCGCTTTCTGTGGCTGCCCTTAACCCTGATATTGACCTTGTTCTAATTTTGGCTAATCCAGGTAAGACGCTCCTCAAACAAAGTTCAAAGATTCCGGGATAAACGAGTAGTAAATAAGCATGCTGATATACGAAAATTCATGTATAAACTGTATTAGTTGACTAGGTCCATTGAATTTTCACTAATTCATCTTAGATAAGCGCAAAATGCTTAGCATTTCTATAAAAAACTAAATGATTTAGCTCTAATACGGAAGCTATTCAATTGATACTTTTGCTCACTCGGGTTAGCTCCTACCTGGTATCCATGTGCAGCTACGTCCTTCAGCAAGTCCCAACTTCAACCATTAATACCTTTACTGCAGGTCATTCCTGACTCACTTCCTCTTAGCCTTCCTCACATAGTGAGCTCAACGACAGGTCTGCTTTCTTTATTCCACCTTTTATTATGTTCGTTGCTCCAAGTTATGATGAATTACTGGCTCGAAGTTCATGTACTTGCAACAACAGAATTTTATTGAACAACCTGCAACTCTTTTTCATGAATTTAGGTTTTCTGATGGGTAACTTGGTGACGGGACTTAGACGTCCTCTGCCACAGACAGTTGAGAAGCTATCACGTGATCTTCTTGCGTCAACGTCTTACCTCTGTAAGACACAACTATGCGACAAACTAACAATGCTTTGTTCGCAAGTTTTCAAACATCGGATCAGTCTATACATTCAAAATGTGTTCAATCCTCATTCCATATATGGATGCTTATGATGTGTTGTTTTCAAGCTTCTGTTATGTAGCATTATATGTTATCACTAGTATAATCCATACCCCTGAAGTCAGTTAAAAGAGGATCGGTTGTCTTCTGATCTTTCATGTTTATTAATTGTGTTTGCGGAAAGAATTAATGGTTGAAGCCACAGGCTCTTGGTGACATCTTACCTCGAGAAACACTTCTGTGGAAGCTACAAATGATTAGATCAGCATCTCAATATGCCAATTCACGTCTCCACGCTGTGAAAGCTGAAACGCTGATACTTTCCAGGTCTACTATTTTTTTTCAAGGCTACACAAAGAGTTTGCAAGTAAACATGTAAATAGGGTGTAATTTGAGTTTACGGAAATTTATTGGAATAGTTGTGATCTGCTCGTCAAGTATAGTCATGCATCGGAGCACTTTACTGCTTTCGCCTGTCATCTTTCTAGAATGATGGGGCTAACTTAACTTTTATTTGTCCTATAAGTGGACTGGATCAGTTGTTACCTAGTCAAGCGGAAGGAGAAAGACTCAAACGCACCCTTGCAAAATGTGAGATTCGTACGTTTGCCAACAGAGGTCATTTCCTCTTCCTGGTAGGATGATTTCTATATGTGCATGTATACATTACATTCTTATTGGTGATAGTATAAGCCCTGATAAAACAAATGAATTTTCTCTCTGCTACTTTCCAAACCCAACATCTCCAAGGAAAAAAGTTAAATGGTAGAGTTAGATACTTAGGGTCATTTAATTGGAGTAATGGATCAACTTTTGTTGAATTAGCTACTCTCTGCTATGCCTGAAATTCCAATGCTATGCTGTTATTTTATAACCAGATTTTTGAGTTTGTAAGTTTTTACTTTGATACGTATATTTGTTCTCGCAATCCATGGCAGGAAGATAATTTTGATCTGGTAACTGTCATCAAGGCCACTTGTTTCTATCGTCGTTCCAGTACTCATGACTTTGTTACTGATTACATACCACTAACGCCTTCAGAAGTCAAAAATATAATTGAATCAAACAGGTGGGTAATATTTTCCTGGAATTTACAATTGCAGTTGTACTTTCTGCTATCTTAGCTGTGTATGAAGCCCCCAAGACAGTAGCTTTATTTATCCGTGTCGTATTATATTGAGTCACAGAAGAAAGAGCTGATGGAAATTATGCAGAAGCTGGCTACAATATTACTAAACCTCTAATGTGTAATGTCTGATCACTGTGCATTTTGTGTAGATTTTTAACCATGGCCACTAGCCCAGTCATGTTCTCAACTTTAGCAGATGGGAAGATTGTGAGGGGCCTTGCCGGGATTCCTTCCGAGGGCCCTGTATTGTTTGTTGGTTATCACATGTTACTGGGGTTTGAAATGGCTCCCTTGGTAATTCAGATGTTTGAGGAAAGAAACATCCAATTGCGAGGAATAGCACATCCGATGATGTTTATGAAGTTCAGAGAAGGAAAGTTTCCTGATCCCTCTATTATATTCGACACAATCAGACTTCTGGGTGCAGTTCCTGTCTCTGGTGCAAACTTATACAAACTCCTCTCCACCAAGTCTCACGTCCTACTATATCCAGGTGGAGTGCGTGAGGCTCTTCACCGGAAGGTAGCAATCACTTTATTATTGTTATTATTTGTCTCTGAGAAGACTAGATAAGCCTAGAATTCCAATTATCTTAGTGGACCAGTTCCACTGAACTGAACTTGGAATATTTCCAGGGGGAGGAATATAAGTTATTCTGGCCACAACAGTCGGAGTTTGTGAGAATGGCAGCTAGATTTGGAGCCAAAATCGTGCCTTTTGGCGCTGTTGGAGAAGATGATATTGGTGAAGTAAGCCTCCTTGTTAAATAAAACCACAGGTTTGCTGAGCTTTGGTTATTCACACCACTCATTCTCAGAATAATTATTGTCTCTTCTTTGTAATCAGCTTTTATTGGATTACAACGACCAAATGAGAATTCCTCCACTCAAGAAGTCTATACAGGAGGTAACAGATGAGGTTGCGAAAGTGAGGTAATCGATCTGAGATGATATTTTTTCGTTGATTCCAGTAGAACTTTCGGTCTTCGTGTGATTATACATTTCCTTGTCATCCTTGCTTCGAAAGATCAACGTTATGGTTGAATGTCAATGCGATCTTGTGATAACAGAATTGGCGTTGGCGGGGAGGTAGGAAACCAGGATGTACACCTGCCAGGAATCATACCGAAATTTCCAGGCAGGTTCTATTATTATTTTGGAAAACCAATTGAAACAGAAGGTAAGTTCTGCATACTTGTTCATGTGTTGACGTATGATCAATTGTGCAAGCTGATTGACTTAATTTGAACGTTACTGGGAACAATGTCCATGTGAAGGGCGGAAGCAGGAATTACGAGACAGGGAGAAAGCTCATGAACTGTATTTACAAGTGAAATCAGAAGTTGAGGATTGCCTTGCTTATTTGAAGGAGAAAAGAGAGAAGGATCCTTACAGAACGTTATTGTCTCGGATACAATACCAGGTCAGACATGGCTTCACATCTGAAATTCCTACATTCGATATCTGATCGACGAAGATATTCGTCGATGATCTTGGCGATCGACGGACAACCTCCTTGAACATCCTTGGTCACAAACACAGGATAGCTCATCTCATCACTTGACTCTAAAAACAGACCGTTGAAGAAGAGGGCAATTTGATTCAAAATTGTATGGTATGTGGTTTAGTTGTAAAATAGTGTAATATTCAGGCCTTTTTATAATAATATCACGCTTATGGTTTTGGATCCTTGTGCCCAAATTCATGTGCCGTCCTTTTTCATTACATTTCACTCAGGAATGCATATGCAGGTTTAGTTAGTCGAGTTATTATGTTAATTCTGCTGGACGGTTGAAGTCGGAATTTAGAGTTATATTTTGAGAAACATCTGCTTAGAAGAGCGAGTTGCTTTTGATACTCTTTTGTCATAATTAAATTTGAAATTAATAAAATAAATAATGATTTGATTTAAATCCCCTCTTCAAATTTTGGATTCAATAGAGCTTAAGGTTTTGTGCCATTTTGTAAATATAATTTAAACCCCTCGTCACTTTTGCGTCAATTAATTTCCGTGTTACAAAATTCAAACACGATATCTGGAGTTTCCCTCAAAAAATAACAAAGTTAGCGCAATGGCCCGGCCCAAACTAATTTCGGTGTTACAAAATATCAGTCCGCATCACCATTCACCAACCAACCAAATGAAAGGCAAAACTATTGACCCAATTCAGTTTTTATTAATTTGCACAAAGGTAGAACAGGGTTAGTGTCATTTGAGATGAAATGACCAACTATATATGTATATGTGAGAATATGTACACGGAGGAATACAGTAAACAAAAACAACTTGGACGTTTCAGTTGATGTCGAAGTACTTTGGATCATCCGGGAAATGGTATTCCACATTCAACTGCGATTAAAAGATCCAAAGAAACAAGAGAGCATTATCAGCTAAGCTTGCACAATATTATTGCACATCGCAAAGACGAATGCAAATTTATAAGCAAAATTCCGTTCATCAAGAGCACTTTAGTTTTGATATGTGAGTGTGTGATGTGTATGCATGACCAAGTAAATATGCACATTACCTTTCCCTCGTCAGCGTCTGAGTGGCGTTGAGGGAACACCACCCTCAAGTCATTGTACAGGTAGAACCTGCGCTCCCCATCCATGTCTAAGCCTGTTCTTTGTGGTGTTGATAGGGGATCTGATTTGCACCTCTGGACTGACCGAGAACTTTTTTTAGGAAAAGGGCATATGAAACGGAGATGAAGAGCATAGCGAAGAGCACCATTACTGCTTTGGTTAACCCTTGAACAGCCATGTACATGTTTCCTGTCGGTTCCATAGCATGCATCAACACACTTGCGCTCCTTTCCGTTGCTGCTTCGGTACTCCTCATTGTTGAAGCTCTTCTCAACTAGGAACGAAGGAATGGACACCCTTCCCGTTTTAGGGGATACCTTGGACATATCCCCCTCATCTATGGAATCCACAAAATTAGAGCCTTCACTTCTAATTTCAGTTTTCTGATCTACAGATCTTGTTGTATGTACAATGTGTACTCCGGCTGTATTCTCTACTTCCTTCGCCTCTATCACTTTTGAGTTCAAATCAGTCTTCCCTTGTCTTGACAGGGGAGAATTTGGGCTGCATGCTAAGGTGACCTTCTGGCGTAAGAAAGTCTACTTCGTTTTGAACAGATGGGAAATAAACAAAAAAAAAAAAAATTAAATTAGCCTCAGAAACATGGAATATCATAAGCCACACGACATAATTTTATAGTCCCTTAATGTTATTATAACTACAAAATCGTTTGAAAATCCATCACTGCAGCTTTAAAGCAATATAATTCAAAATTTGAAGTTAAGTTATACGTAGCAGATCTATTTTAATGCATCTTGCATATGTTGCCAGGTAAGCATATATCTGTACTTGTGAATGGTTCTAAAATGAAATTCTAGACCACGGTCGTTGTACTTAAGTTCTAAGTTGCAACGTTTTTCTCCTTGGATGTAGGATTACAACTCTCTGCTATATCTCAAATTTATAATGATGGATAAATTTCAACAAATTATATTTAACACAAAGTTCGTAAGCATCACATAGTAACAACAAGATATGAACACACTAAACTTACTTTGCTACCAGCTGGCATGTCACTTAAATCATAGTTGCAAAGAAACGTATGAATAGGTGTCTTCTCAGGATTGCTTAGAACCTGCATAAATCAAAGTATGGAGAGCTTAATTTAGTATGCTTAATAATGATAACCCATCACAATGTAACATGCTACACAGAGTGACGATTTCAACAAGTAATTCAGTCAAACCAGTACTCTGGTAATGAAAAACTTGACCCTTCAATATCTCTGGCAATCAGATAATAAAATGTATGCAGGAACAGACAACAAATACCAGTTGTATACGGCCCTTCACAGGAATACGCAGGCGGCTTGTGACAATCTGTGAACCATCATTGCTAAGGCCTTGTTTAATCTTTTGTCCTCCACTCCTATTCAATGCAGAATTTCCCGAAAGATGTATGGATGCGCAATACAATAAATAGCAATCACCTTCTACACTAGTTACTGAAAAAGGAAGCTTCTGTGATTGCGGAGAAAAGTTTCCCCCAGTGATGCTCAGCACAGCCAGAAAACCATCTATTCTCTACATATTTAAATATTCCAGCAGTTATAACATAGCAACAATGAATAATGTACAGGATTTACTACACAAGAGAACATTGACACTAACCTGACTGGGTTTGCCTGATATGAACCGACCAGACAGTAGAGACTCTTCGAATGAACCAACCAAGGATCTCTGAACAGAAAGGCCACTCAAACTTCTAACAAACCTCATGCAATGGGAGTTGGGAGCTGACCCGTGGGCGTGGGACAAAGAATAACTTACGCCAGTACTGTTCTCTAGAGAAGATGGAAGGAATTCCCTGTGAAAAATATCAACATCTTCAAATAGTTTACTAGCAATCCTAAACTCCCCTACTTCAGGGGAAAAGGGAATGTCTGCATCAGACTTGTAAAGTGTTTGTTTTACATTCCTTAAGGTTGAATGACAATCCTCCAACTCTTTGTCGGTAGTCCTGCAGCCCCCTGCAATTTTCAATCTTTCAGACAACCTGGGGCCAAGAGGTGACAAAGAATGGAAAGGTGAGATCACTTCCTTCGGAGATATTGATATTTCCCCACTTTGGATTTTTGCATTACTCCATTTTGTCAACTCATCATGTCTAGGTGAAGATCGATAACTATTTTGAGGTACAAGATCCTTGTTTTCCAGCAAAGGGCCATCTGTGAAAAAACTGGTTTCCATAATACTATCATCATGTAGCAATGGCATGCTCTTCTGCTCCAAGTAACTAGACAGAGAACAAGTTGGCCTGGTAAAACTACCTTTGATCCCAACATTTGCTTTCTTATGATCATGTGCAATAGGTGTACTAAAATTATCACCCATAGCAGGATAATTTGTTCCAGAAGTTCTGCAACCAATGTCCAAATGATCACCTTTAAACTGGTGTGGAAAAAGCATAGTATTCAATGGGGACAACAATCGCTTCCTGACTAGTGACCCACTGGTCACAGTTTCATTAGTTGTGACATTAACTGCAGAAGAAGAGTGAACAGGACCACATGAAACACCCCTCGAATCATCATTTAGAGAACTTGTTCCGGTCGATTCAAAACCTACAATCCTAGAAGCAGGGGTCTGAATATTCCGTCCATTTCTTGCAGTGATCTGATCAGCTTTATCAACAGAAACTATTGAAGAACCATGAACATTGTTAGTGACGTCCACGGTCCCTCTAAATCTAAGTGAATCATCTGGGAGCTTTGAAAATTCTAGGGAGGTTCTAGTCTGGTAATCTCCTAAAGAGGAGCATAATGGATTCCCTCCCACTTGGCTTGCACCGCCACCAAGCATCCCATCCATATCACACGCGCTCATACTAGAAAATCGAGGCGGGCTTTGTAAAAAGGAGCCCGGAGAAGGAGCTAGCACTTCCTCAGAAGTTACAGTTGAGGGCACTTGAGGCAATCCCATTTCTAAATTTCACAGGGTTAACCCTAACTCTAGTCTCTTTCTTTCGTTTTTTTTTTTTTTTTTTTTCTAGAATGGGCAGGGCTGTCGAGGATTCGAGGGAGCCGGATCAGATCAGCTCATCAATTGATAGAGCTGCTATTTCCAATCCAATGAAGAAAAAAATTTCCAACTTGCTATGCTGCCACTACAACTAATAAGTGGTCTTAATCTCTCCTTCAATTAAGAATACAAGTGGTCTGTAGAAGCTACTACTAACTGCTAAGTACCTACCAAGGGGAGCCAGAATTCAAACATTTGAGTTACCACTCTTTCCAAAGAGATGCTGAAGCACATGGGAGTCGTGTGAGGATCACGAGTAGCGCGGATCTTCAGACCTCCGTAGCAGCAAGTCATGAAACACACGTAATTCATGATTGCCTGAAGAATCAGTAGCTAGGCCTGAAACAATATTCGCATGAATCTGTATCAGTACAGAAAAGAAAAGTCACACACGAAAAACGTAGTCAGTGTTTGCATTGATCAGAATTTTGGGCCAATTGAAATGCACATACAACTACATACACAAACAATGATCGCACAGAGTAGAACAAATTGTTTAGTCAATGAATCTAATCCTCGAAGCTCCTCAAAAATCAAAAGATTAAGATTGTCAAATCATGATCAAAGCATTGATCGGAATTCCGAAGAAAAAGTAAGAGCAATCCAACCATCCAAGTGGTGTAGAACGTACGTTTACTTGAGACGACAAAAAATTATATGAATTTGGAAATTTCACCGTCGAAGAGAGAGTTGAAGAAATGGATAATTGAACCATCCAAGAGCAAGATTAAAGAAAATCAAAGCAGGTGGATAGGATCAGCGGTCATGGATGATATTTCGGAATCCGTTTGTTTCATCTGCTGCAGTGAGTTAGCAACAAAAAGAAGAAAATCAAAGCAGTAACAGAGATTGATTAGTAATTGAGTAGCAGAAGACGCACCGAGAGAAGCTGTGATGAAGCAATCAATCATGTCAGAAAATCACCATCCATGCAAACTGTGATCACTCTACAATTCGATTAACCACCACCGACGCTTGTGAAATCGGATGCGGTTGAAACCAGAAAAAAGAGAAGGGTTTTGGTTTTGGTTTTGGTTTGGTAGAGGGAGAGAGGGAGAGAGGGAGAGAGGGAGAGAGGCAGAGAGGGAGAGAGGCAGAGACCAAATACAAAGTGGAGTGTGAGTCCGAGGGAAGGAGAAAAGGGAGAGGGAGAGGAGGCTCAGTTTATAATCGCAATCCAAATCCCAATCCCAAAATACGAGCAGCACCATTTCCATTTCCATTTTCAATTTCTTTTCTTTTTCTCCGCTGTAATTTTCAAAACCCCCAATTAATATTTAAAAACGCACTTTTCCATTCATTCGCAATCTCGCACCATTGTGTCTCTCTCTCTCTCTCTCTCTCTCTTAATTTTTGCGCTTTTTCTTTACCTTTCGACGCTTTGAGTTTAAAAATAAAATGAATGTTACCCTGCCTGCCTTGCCTAGTTGCCCGTGCGTTTCACTTTCTTTGTCATTGTTTGGCGCCTGTGGAGTCGGGACCACCACAGTATTTCGTTTTGCTTGTGCCCCCCTACGCTGCAATCCCTGCGTACATCTCATCTATCGACACGTATAAAGCGCACCGCATTAACTATTTCAGTAATGCTACGTAAACCACATCCATAATAATTATGTAGGAAATAAACATATTAATTAACATAATTTTATTGTCAAGTTATTTTGATAAAAACAAAATTATGTTATATAATAATATAATAAATGTAATTTTTTTTTATGTCAATGACACATAATACTATTCTGACAACGTACCTGTATCGTGTATTTTTTCTTCATTCTCGCTTAATGGGAGACGTTCAAAATTTTAATGGGGCATATATGGATATAAAAACATGATGGGTAAAATTATAGAATAATTGAGTGGACAATATGATTTAGAAGATTAGGCAAATTTAAGAGGGAGAAGATTAAAAGAGAAGGCTTCTGAAATTGGGTAAGAATGTCTTTTAAATATATATCTTATCTTCAACGTGAAGCTCTCATCAGCAAGCTCCCCACCCCTTGTCATTCAAAATTAGTTTAAAATAAATCCAAAGAAAACACCAAAACTGAAAGGAAAAAAAAATAAAAAATTGAATGGGTCCGTCCAACAGATACATACACCAAAGTCTTAAGGGCCGTTCATTTTTTTTTTCTTTATATTATTTTGGCTTGTGAATGAAGGTGTGCGTGTTTTTATCATTGTGTTTGGCAGTTGGAAATAACTAATCATTTCACTTTCGCATGGGCATTTCCACAATCCGGATGAGGATATTTTTCGGATTTCTTTGTGGGGATTTGAAAGATGAATCAATCGTGTCCTTTTATTTGTCAGTTTTTATTACGTACGGGAATAAGCTTGTTTCTTCCCAAGCTTATCCCTCAAAAAAACCGATCCTATAGCGCCAGCACTTCGCGTTCTTTTCTATTCAGTCCTATTTCATTTTGGAATAGGCGGTTAATACTAATATAATAAGTGAAGTACTTGTCGTCGGACCAATTGGCTCGGACACCAGACCACTCGTGCCCGCCCATTCTGTCTCGCCTTAAATGGAATGGCTCTCTTAGTTATGTTCCCCCCCCCGACCCACCCCAGGTCCCACGTCCGCTCTCTTCTCCGCTCGTAGCCCAACAAGTTGGCTTTATATTTAATTTTAAATAAATAATTTAAAATAATTTTTGACCCGACACAATTAATTGATCTTTCAAATCTTCATAATGAAAATACTGCTAGGACCCTAATCCCCACAATCCTTTACAATAATATACGACACAGCCTCCTCGAAGCATAACGTGGCAGCAGGCGATGCGATTGAGTGTGAGTGCGACGTGGCAACAAGTCGGCGTTAACTCTTGTAAACTGAGACAGGTGTAGGCTTAGCCAAGGCTAGGCGGCCACGGGAATACAAAAAACGGGTGCACCCTCAGGAGTAATCAGGTGAGGAGCACCGACCTCATCCGCTGATCCTGTGACTGTCTGTCTCCTTGTTTGCTAATCCAATTGCTTTTGCATTGCCAGTTTCTTTTGCTACTTTTTATGCACCACCATCACCATCATTACCAGTCTAAAATATTCATAATATTCCGATATTTTCATTTAAATTTTCGTGTTTTTAAACTACCGATATTTTAGACCTTACTAAGTTCTCATATATCTTACCATACAATATACAAAGTGTAAAATATTGTACTAATTCATTATATATAAATGATTATAGTGTGTTTAAACTTCTTTCATTAATTACTACATATTTTATACAATCACAATGTTTGCCAGCTCGCTATATAATCAACTTAAATCAGTTATATCTATCATGCAATGCATTTCCTTCCAATTTTTTTATGATAAACTAATAGATAATTGACTAAATAAATATCCTGCAAAGTTTCAATAAAAATTTTCCAAGTTTTTCTTACAATTTCTGTGGTTTTTATTCAAATTTTATCATTATCGATAATATCCCGATATTTCCATCGAAATTTCCATGTTTTTGGACAACCGATATTTCCGATATCATCAATATTTAATACCTCACCTACCATAATAACCAACTAACCCGCCTTATTTTCAAATGGGCCGAGGCCCAAAATTTACAATTGTTCTTGTTTATCAAAGCGCACGTGTTGTCGCGTGACACGATCTCATATAATAGGATTTTTTTAAGCAAAACTATAGCGGTTTATTAGCGTCTTACAAAATGTACAAACTTCAAAGAGAGCATTCTAAATTAAATTCAAAGGATCACCAAACGAAAAAAACTCCAAAATTTAAAAAAAAAGAAGGCAAATATGGTCAGCTAATCTAATAGTCACCATATCGGCAGACTTGTAATGTAAATAAAAAAAACACAAATAACATTCCAAAGCCAAACGAACTTCAATCCATACAGCTAGAAATTCAATCATTTCATAATACACCACTTGAGAGACTTTACGCACAAAATCGTCAATAAAATTGATAAGGAACACTGTTTGCATACAAGCAACGTCGACTCCAATCAGAAACTGCAAAAGAAACAAATAGTAACCACTCCAATAGAGACTCTACGCACAAAACCACCAACGAAGCTACGAGTTGCATAAAGATAAACCGAACCAACGCCACTATAAGACATGAACCAGAAAGAAACCCAAAAGAGCAAATTAACATGGACAAAAGCCGCACTATAATCTAGAAAACCCATGTCACAACAATTCTACCCCATCTCTTGACAAACCCACACTATCCAATAAACTAAGAGGGAGGATTCGGGGAGAAGGATTGACTTAGTCACCACAAAGGGGAATATTATTCACCACAATAGAATAGAAAAATGAAAAGGGGGAGCGGAATGGAGCGGAGGGGAGGATGAAAAGAAGTGCTTCTCCTTCCTCCTCCCCCGACGACGACTTTTTCTCTGCGATGCAATTTTTGGGTATAGCAAAGGACATAGAGCAATAAAAGGGATGGTAGAAAACGTACTTACGGCATGCACATAATTGTAGCCTACACAAGACATGCACAAAACGAAACCTCTGATTGCTATCCCCAAAATTTGGGGTTTACAGAAGGAACTAGTTCCAATTGATGAAAATGGGGATCTATACCACCGGACTGTTAAAAAGGTCTCGCGGCCGCTTCCATCATCTTCTTTACTCTGGTCAGTTTCTCTATCTCCTTGAGAACCTGAGTTCACAGATAAGAGAGGAAAAGAATCCAAGGGTTTGTCTCATTTCATTAATCACTTTGCTACAGTTTTCAAACAATGTCTGCATTTCAAAACTACACTCGTTACCTCCAAAGCCATGTTTTCTGTCGTTACATCACCAAGGTCATCATAACCTAATTGATAAGCTAGTTCTGATCGGACACAAAAAAATGGTTAGAACCGCCGAGGAAACATAATATAGTACATTAAGAACAAGAAAAGATCATGGAGATATACCTTCAACGGAAACGGTTGCATCAGCTGTTTCGTATCCACCTCTCGCTTCTTCATACGAAGTACTTAGGTGAGTCAAAACCTGGTTACCATTCATTACAAAAGTCAATCATCCGCACCATACATGGTAGAGTCTATTTACTTTCCATCTGAGGACAACAAAGGAGGAGGTTGTGTACGGTTATTAAGTTTGGGGAGGAAGAGATGACCTCTTGATAAGATGCTGAAGCAGATAGGTTGAGTGCAGGAAGCTGACTTTGATCTTCGACCATGCCACTGGCCACCAAGTCTACAGGTACATCAATCCATACAGAGATTCCATACCTCAGAAGAGCCCTATACATGTTAATCGGAAGCGAGTCAGAATTGCACTACTAACATTAATACATAAATAAATGACATAGGTTGTAGCAATGATATCAGAAATCCTACAGATTAGTTGAACTCTGAACCGCACCATCTCCGGCACAAACCACCAATCGACCCATGGATGACAGTTGCTTCAATACTTCAGTCCGCACCAATATCTCGATTTAGAGCCCCATCTGAATGGTAGTAATCCAACTTTTATAAAGGTGAGCAAACAGAAAATATGTCGCAAACTATCACCTCGGATTCCCGAAAACCATTTATGTCAGCCACCCTAAGCGATTTGGCAGCAGATTCACCTCCAGCAGCTTCCTCAACCAAACTATCACTGGACAAAACAACACAAATTACAATTTCAGCCAAAACAGCTAGAGCAAAGAAACTTATCCTGATACTTAAACGATGTAGCATATACAGGTACCTGTCAAAGTAATAATATCGCAACGCATTGGCTAGGAGCTTCCCCAAACTGGTTTTCATGGAGCTCTTCATGCCTTTCCACCAGAACGATCATCAAAATTCTATCCGTAACGCAACGAAACATCAAAGGATTCGAGTTCTGAATGCATTTTAATTAATTTTACAAAGCACTAAGTAAATTAATGCTTACCCACAAGAAATATGGAAGTTCCCTTCAGCTCAGGGGTTATATCCATTGCCTTGTTCTGAATTAAAACTGAACAGTTACAATCAGCACTTCAAGCGAGAACAAAATTATAATTTCAAAATTCATGAAACACAGGCGAATCCATGAACATGGAGCTCACCTTTACTGCAGAAGAGAGGTCAGCTACAGAAACCTTGGCTGCTGAGCCTTCAAATAAACAAAGTGACGAAAGCAAATTATCACACAGTGGTGTGCATGAAAGCATAAATCAGAAATTCGTCGAAGAAAAAGTCGAACTTACTGGAATCGCCGCCGTCGGAGGCGGAGCATGAAGTGGCGAGAGGTTTTCGGATGTGGGTGCGAGAGGTAATCGGAATTGAGAAACTGGAAGCCGCAACTTGAGAGTGGCGGAAGGGAGTGCGGAGTGGGAGCTCGGAGCAAGAAGAATGGAGGAGGAAGCTCCTTGTTATCTCCATTTCTACAATTTACAACAGCACGGCGGCGGTTCACGGTTTTTCGCTTCCTCCTTGTGTTGGTGACGACTTCAGCAGTATCATGTAACTGTCAAAAAACTGTCATTACCTTATCCGCCTGGACTTGGATTGTCTACCCTTTCATTTCGGTGTCCTTTTGTGATCACGGTTAAACCACGTCAATATTTTATATTACTATTTTTTTTTATTATTTTTATAAAAAATTAATATAAAATATTAACATGGCTTAACCGTAATCACACAAAACAGGAGGGCACATAAAGAGTACCGAAATGGGGAGGGCAGACAATCCAAATCCTATCCGCCTACTAGCCCAGCAGCTCCCAAAAGGAAGAGAAGGTTTTCAACAGACTAAACGACGGCGTTTCTTTATCTAAAAATCTAAGGTAATATTTAATCCAAGTTGCTCTTGTGGAGTTGAGTATATGGTAAAGTCACATTTTTATCGCACAAATTTTATAATTCGAATCGTGAATTTTTTTCATAATAAGTTATAGATTATCTCTAAAAAAGTCATCTGATACTTAACATTCATATTATCAATTTGTTTAATATAAAATGAATAAACAATATCCAATTCCGATCAAATGGATATTTAAATCATTTGAGCTACAAGCCTAACTTACGCTTAGTCCATTCTACGAAATCAAGCTTACTATGGTGCTAGTCGAGAATTACAAGTGTAATCTCTATTGGTCGAATGGTCCCTCAACTTTAACTTTATTAAAATAATGATCTCTCAACTAAAAATTCATTATCATTGGTTCCTCAACTCGTCAAAACATGCATCTATAATTTCTCAACTAAAAATTTGTTACCAATAATCCCTCAACTTTAATCCAATTGGAGAAATGGTCATTCAACTTTAACACAATTGAAGAAATAATCTCTCAACTTTAACCCAATTGTAGCAATGGTCATTCCAACAGAACTCATTTTGACAAAATTCTGAAGAAATTGACGAAAATGACCACAATTACACGTTTTGATGAATTGAATGATCAATAGTAATGAATTTTAGGTTGAAGAACCATTGCTTCAATTTGATTAAAGTTGAAGAACCCTTACTACAATTTACTCAAAAAATAAAATGTAAACTCAGACTAGCAAAAGTATACGCCGGTGGATTTTAATTTACTACCCGTCAGCACACGCAATCGACCTGTTTCCGCAGGCTGAAAGAAGGCAAAAACCTTTCCGGCGGTGGTGATTAACAAAATTCTTCATTTGAAGAAATATACATGATACATCGTAAAAGGCACGACTTTGGTAGAGTTTAGTTCTCATCATAAGCAACAACAAAGAGAGTAAAAGGTTGGGATGAGAAACTAAACAATACATCAAACAACATATTTACAGACTTGTCTATACCTAAATGAAAAAAAATGAGACCGGCAACAATCTCACGGAGGAAACCTGACAAATTCACTGCATCACCAATCTGTATGATATCAGCTCCCACCTGCATGCACTGAAGATGTTCAAAATCAGAATTCCTAAAAATAAGAATTATCATTCGGCTATGATTGTGAAGGTGAAGATGATGGTGATGACAACGACCGAGCAGGAATCAAGAGAAAATCTGTAAATTATATGCAGGATGCAACCGACAAATAGGTAGGCTTTTGCCATATGATCACAACCCTAGCGGAACAAAAGATAAATTAGATGGAGGGAAGAATGAGGCACAAACTGTTCCAACATCCACCCCCCGTCATATATGTCCCGTGCATGGGCAATTTAGTTCCAACTTCTAAGAAGAAAACATCAACTGGTGAGGAAAAATACTGAAAAACGCCCGCTCACCTCGGATGGGACTAGAGTGGGAGGCCACTTCAGAAACATTTGATACCAGCTTGAGTTTTGATAGGGAAATTGGCGTCAATGGAGGTGAATCAACTTCTTCAGCCTTGCCTGGAACTTGAGGAGACTCCAAATGTCTTGCTACATGCACTGCCATTGCTCTTTGACTGCCTGAAGGTATGGAGAAGCTTCGGGGAACTATCAATGGTGGAGCTGGAAGTGGAGATGCCGCATTTGATGCCACTGAAGGGTTTTTATTAGGCATGCTATGTTCTTGATTTCTGAAGACCAGTGGAGCAGAGTGACCAACAAATCCTGAGGATTTTGTTGGTTTGGCAGCTGATGAATTACCGGGGGGTCTAGGAAGCTCATGAAGCTCGCTGATCTTGGGTGAAGAAACAAGGGGAGGTGACGGACATGGGGATACCTTTGGAGATGAAGGTTGGGGATTTGGTAAACGAGACAACATCCCGGAAACTAGTTGCGGTGGTTCAGTTGATGCAATAGGACCACTATCATATAATAAAGGCTTTGATGATGACGATTTACTAGGTATTGGGCCGGAGAAAGCGTCTCTCTTAGTCTTATTTGTATCAGATGTATTCAACGTATCAAGCTGTGGAAGTACGCGTCCCTCCAGTGGAGGAGGTAGTTGGGTGGAGGTACTACTGACATTGCTCTCTTTTTGTACCAGCGGAGTTTTTGAGAAATTAGGTCTCGGCAGATTATCATCACCAGGATCTTTCTCTTCCAATGGGGAAGAATGCCATAAATTTGGATTGCGTCTACCTGGCCTTGTTTCTGGAACCGCGCTGCTTGTTCTTGAAGAACTCAAACCTTTTGGATCAATAGGTGTGGGCAGTACATACGTATTAGACTTCCGTGGTGTTGATGCTTGCAATTGTCTAGCTTTCTCAGCAGGATCAAACTTCTTCCCCGGAAAAATTGGGGCTGAGTGGCTGCCTATTCTTGGTTCTCTACTTGGGGCCCTCATATCCCATTGGTTCCTGTCTAGATTCATCTACAAGGAAAAAGATTTATGAATACAATATTTGGAGTTCAAGGGCAAACAATTGTGTCTTCAAAGTTTGGTTTCAAATCTACCATTCAAAAGGCAATGAAATCTTACATCTGCATGTTCCAATCTTGTAGCTTTAGGAGACAAAGATCCCACTTCATCAACCTGAGAAATGAGCGGTTAGATCATAAGAACAAACAAAATATGTCAAAGAAATCCATAACGACAAAAGTTCACACCCTGAGCACTATGTTGAACAACAATTGAAACCACCAACAGTACTGGCACTTGTACCAATATCAGCACAACTAAAATTTGAAAAATATAATCTTTTAAGAAAAACTAACACATAATGTTTATGAAGTTAAATGTCACTGATACGGAAAAAGGAAATTCAAAATCCAATAGATAGATTATAATATAATCTTGGAGACGTTTACCACCACACGATAAATAGAGAATATAGTGCCTTAAACAACAACACAAATTCCTAATTACATTAGACCTCACCTCCATTGAATTCCTTGATGCAGAGGTGACATCAATCCCCTGCTTGCTTGACCTATAGTTAAAACTCAATTCTCCATCTTCAGTAGGATCATAGCTATTTTCACCATTATCCTCAACATCATCCCCACCATCATCCCCACCATCGTCTTCAAGTCCACTGAATTGGTATTCAATATGATGCTCCTCAGTAACCAATCTAACGTGTGGTTCAACAGCCTCAAGTGATTTAAGTCCTTTCCGAAAGAAATTCAACTGATTCAAAGAACAAGAATGCTAACTATGAGTCAGCCAAATAGAAGAACGAGACTTTTGAAGTTTTTATGATTGGTTGGAGATATAAAGAAAACCTGAGCAGCATGGTGACGAGCTGCCTGTGTTAGAAGACTTCGAGCCTGTCCTTGCTTCAGAGACTTCAATCGAAAGACACACAATGTAGCCTCCTCATCATATTCATCATGAGCTACTTGCAATTGCTGCAAAGTAAAACTGTCACCTTTTCCACGTTTTGACCTCCCCTTTTCTTTCTGTTGTGCCACCATGTAGTCATACACTTCTCTGAAGATGATACAACAAACCAAATTCAGAAAAAAATTACTTCTATTAAGTAAAAGGGTCAAAAGAGAACGGAATAGACCTTTTTTCGTCGCATTGTCGCTTCATTTCCTGCATAAGATAACAAGAAAGGAAATTCAGTGATACAAACCAAGGGAACAGATATGAATATATACAGCCGCTGTGTCTAGGTGATACCAAAGGAAACAGATCCTCGACAAATCCCTCTGAGGTGCAAAAAGGTAGAGTATCCTTCACTGAATATTAAATTCAACGTCTCCAGAACACCATGACAGGTTGGATTTTACAAAAACCAATTACCAAGACTGCACCTAGCCCATGGCATATTATTCTCACTGCTGTTTTGGGCATGCCTAGCATTCTACTTTGGGCAGGTGTGAATGTACCAGGCACTTAAATTCCTTCTGATTTGTGACACAGCTAGAGTACTTAATAATCAATTACAGCAGATATCTCTTGGGTAGAAACATATAGCTGCAGGCAATTGAGGGTTTATTGAGAAAACCTCTAGTACTGAATAAAATAAGAGAATACACGAGCTAACCTCAACTGTCCGAAGTTCATTGAGAAGAGACTCCGATGGGTTTGTAATTGTCAAAAATATATGAGAGCGCTGAAGTAAAGGAAACAAATAGTTAACACCAAGTTAAGGTGAAGGTATTTCAGTTAAAGGAAAGAAAAGCTTTAGAAAGATAGCATGACGTGCACAAAACAACAGGAAGAACTCACATATCTATCAACAAGTTTTTGAAGTTCATACTGCAACCTCCCCAGCATCAGAAATACTCTACCTGCATTCCAATTAAGTACCAGGCATATGTATCATAAAATCCTCAATACTCACAAAAAGAACAAAAAAATCCTCATAATTAAATTCACGTATATAATGCAAATGCTATGTTCAGCTCAAAGATTAAAAATCCCCGTAACTCAAATTCATGGATATAATACACACGTTATGTTCATCTCCAAATAACCTTAGCCATGGGTGAGAAAATGAAGCTTGAAGGTTTGCCCACCTTCATCACACAAAAAAAAAAGAAGGGTCATATACTTTGATGGACTTACCACTCTCTTCATCATCATGCAATGCAGTTTTTTCCAGCAGACAAGTACCCATTTCACGCAGTGACTCCGAGAATTCTGAAAGTGCAGATTAGGTCAAATGGCAGAAATCTATGGCG